ACACGAACACGAACACGAAACACGAACACGAACACGAACACGAACACGAACACGAAACACGACACGAACACGAACACGACACGAACACGAACACGACACGAACACGTACACGTACACGAACACGACACGTACACGAACACGTACACACACACACACACACACACACACACACACACACACACACACACACACACACACACACACACACACACACACACACACACACACACAACACACACACGCACACTAACACACGCACACACCAACACATAACATATATATACATACGGATAACAGCGTCCGGTCTCCTCGCAGGTCCAACAGAGCGTCAACTCGGGAGGCTGTTGCGGGGATAAGAAGGGAGGAGATGACAAGGATGACAAGGATGACATGGATGAGGCGACGACGACAGACGCAACTACAGTGCCACCACCCAGCGAGGTTTAGGTGTGGCCAGCATCACCAGAGGCCGCTATGAACAAGACGACCAGCGCAGCGATGAACACGACCGCAGAGAGAGTGCGAACGTGAACGGGAACAAGGGCTTGACTTCGATCCATTGAGCTTTGTCATTTCGGCAGATTCCTGGCACCCGGATGTTCGTTCGTGGTGCCAGGGAAACGACTAAGAAAATGTTTTTTTTATTGGTATTTGTATAATGATCATTTCGCTCCCAAAACCAACCCCCCCCCCAAAAAAAAAAAAAAAAAAAAAAAACGCTACTTTTTTGGTTTAGTAAGTTTCGAATGTAATTTTAAATCATTGTATAAGCTCCTCCCGAGCGACTTTATCACTAATTGGCAATAAATTGGAACAACTTATGTATTTCGACCTTATCCCTACCTTACCAATCCTACATACCTACATGTATATACATATATATTTTATTATGTTCTTTCAGCCTGTTTTAGGTCCGTTGTTGGACATTGGCCTTCCCCATTTTTATTTTTATTATTATTTATTTTTTATTTTTTTATTATTATTTTTTTTAGATTTGTCAGGCATTTCTTCTGACACGGATCAAGCCCTAGGCTACTCATAGGTGATTTGTTGATTTAAAGTGTTAAAAAACCTTGATTGTCATTTGTAAATAAACAAAGATTTGTTTATTAAATTCATCTTGGTGGTGGAAAGCTGAAAAGGTCCAGAGGGGTATTCGCTAAGAGTCTTTTGGCGAACTCTTGTGCTAATGAGGTTGCGAGGGAGATATCATCTAATTGTGTAATTTGAAACTCCGCTGGTCGAATGTGTTGAATTACTTTACAGCTTAGAAGGTAGTGTAAGAGAGGTTCAGGGGTCACTTGCTGACAGTAGATGCACTCTCTGAGAACTCTCTCTGCGATCTCCCAGTTACGAAGGCGGTGAATTATACTACTTGTTCACGAGGCATGGTGTTGTGATGCTCACGCGTTGATAGTGTCACTGTCTTATACCATGATGCAGAATAAGACCCTTTATTGACGCATGCTAAATGTTGATTGATGATTTCTCGCTGAAAATTTTGTCTTATTGTCTTCTTAATTTGGCTGCAGCTGGGTGGGATGTGAAAGTTGAATATTTGAATAGTGTCGCTTCCGAGGCCGCTCTGTCTGCAATTTCATTCCCTATTATTCCAATGTGACTAGGTATCCAATTTAAAATTACTTGTGATCCTTTCTTATGAAGAACTTGGATCTTATAGAGGAGAGTGGTCATGAGCATTATATTTTCATCAGGAGACTTGTAGAGGGCTTGAATTGCTGAGAGAGAGTCCGTATAAATATTTATCTCTTTGTGATTGGTGGAGATTGCTAGGGTGAGAGCTTTGTCTATTGCAAATAGTTCAGTCTGGAGAGTTGAACAATAATCCGAAAGTCTCCAACTAGATGTTTGAAAAGTGCAGTGAATTGATGCTCCAGAGTGACCTGATATCTGATTAACAGAACCATCTGTAAAAATAGCTAATTGGTCTTTCGCTGCTTTACTGTTAACTTGGATTGCAATCTTGTTTAATATTTCCTGGCTGCAGTTAACTTTCTTCTTAGGAAGTCTCAGTATATTTGTTCGCAGGATTAATGGATTCCATGGAGGCTCTGCTTTGAAAAGTGGATGTCTTTGTGTTGGAGTCCTGTGTACTAGTTGATGGCTTATACCAGACGCCTTAATTGCTAAGACCACTTGAAAATGCCACCCTGTACTGAGAATTGTGTCAATCGGTCTGGTTAATAAGGTTTGGATCCTTTGTTTGAAGGGGAGAGGCTTGGTGGAGGAGAGACTTTTGGCCATGTAGGATGAGGTGATTTGAAGTGTTCGGAGTCTGAGGGAACAAAGATTAGTCTCAATTCTAAGGTTTTCAAGCCTTGTCCAGCGAGGAGCACCTAGAATTATCCTCATAGCTTCGTTTTGTATTTTTTCAAGTTTTATTAGGAGATCAGATGACAGGGTTAAAAGTGAGAGAGCGGAGAAATCTATTATTGATCTGATGGCTTGAGTATAGAAAGTGCGTAGAATTTTGTATCCTGCTCCTATTCTGGTGGATGTTAATTTTCTCATTGCTAGAATTCTGGATTGTATTCTTTGCTTGAGGTAGTCCAACTGATCTTTTTCATGATTTCTTTCTGAGAAAAAGTGTCCTAGGCATTTAGCTTTCTCTACCCAGTCAATGTTTTGGCCTTGGATTGTAAGTAGATGAAAGGGTCTAGATGGACCGATGTTTAATCCTGACGATTTGGACGGGTTAATTTTTAGTCCAAGGGAAGTACAGGCTTGGGTTATTAGATCTAAAGCGTGTTGAGCGTGTAGTAGTTGATGTGGACCTGTGGTTATCAATTGCAGGTCATCTGCATAGCTCAGTAAGGTGGTGTTGTTTCGGAAAGGAAGGTTGACAAGTTTTTCAATCAGTAGATTAAATAAAGTTGGACTGAGGATGCCTCCCTGAGGTGTACCTTTTTCAAAAATAAGGGTATTTGATAGGTGTCCTTGGAATATCACTGTAGCTTTTCTTTGTGTAAAATAGTCTGTAATCCAGGCCAGAAGATGTCCTTTCACTCCTTTTTCCGCTAGAATTGTTGAAATTATTATAGGGTCCGCAAGC